CTTTCTGAAAGTCCAAGTACACTATATTCACTGGATCCCCCTTGTCCACATGTTTGTTGACCCTCTCAAAGAATTCTAATAAATTGTTGAGACACAATTTCCCTTTACAAAAGTTATGTCGACTCCTCCCCAACGTATTGTGTTTATCTATGTGGCTGATAATTCTGTTCTTTACTATCGTTTTATCTGCTTTGCCTGGTACTGAAGTTAGGGTTACCGGGCTGTAATTGCCAGGATCACCTCTGAGCCTTTTTTAAAATTGTCAAAATGTTAGCTACCCACTAGTCATGTGGTACAGAGGCTGATTTAAGCAATAAATTACATACCACCGTTACAACTTTTCTCTGCTAGATTGAAGAGCCCATTATGTTTCCCCTGTGTAATTACTTATAGACTGTAATTAATGGAGATATCCCATCACCTAGAACTGGAAGGGACCTTGAAAGTCCAGCCCCCTGCCTTCACTAGCAGAACCAAGTACTGTTTTTGCCCCAGATCCCTAAGTGGCCCCCTCAGGGATTGAACTCACAACCCTAGGTTTAGCAGGCCAATGCTCAAACCACTGAGCTATCCCTCCCCCCCAAATCAGTCACCCCTTAACTTCTTTTTGTGAAGCAAAACAGATTGAGCTCTCTGGGTATGTCTGCACTGCAATGAAAGACCCACAGATGCATTGGCTACTTCCCGCAAAGTTACCGCGATTGAAGAATTCTTCCATCTCCTCCCTGGTTGTTACTGACTGGGAGGGCAGGGGACAGGAGGATTTTGCATGGCTGAATAAGAACACTGACATAAGGCAGGTTGTGGTGCATCTGATCTATAATTCATCACAATCATTCCAGGCTCGAAGAGAGAGGCAAACCAGCCTGGACCAAGAATACCCACTTGGCGGCGGTAGGCTTGCTCCTGTCACTTCTGATATGTGCAGGCAGATGGCAGGCGGGCACAGGGGCTGCTGGGCTCTTCATACCTTTCATGAGGAGGGATTGGAAGCCGAGGATGATTAGAGGAAGTAAGAGCAACGATACCTGAGTATTTCCTGCTTTGTTGCTCATATTCAGGTTACTGCTAATGTTCCAGCCTGGAATTCAGGAATGGGCTGTTGCCTGGAGACGGTTAGCAGAGCAGCCGTGTCCTGGGGAAGGGCAGCGGCGGTGGGATGAAAATGGTTCGAGTTTACCAGAGAACTTTGTGTAACTAGTGTCTGCAGACAGGGACTGCGCTCACTGCCTGTTCACCAAAGGACCCAAGCCTGCTGTCCTGCCAAGTCTGTTCTGCTAGACCCTGGCAGTGCCGGCTTTTTTGCCACCCCAGGCAAAAAAGCCTCTTGCCGCCCCTCCCCCCCCAGCGCGGCAGGGGAGGGTGCTGAGCCCGGCTGCAGGCCGCTTTCCCCGACCGGCCAGAGCGCCGGGGGGAGGGCGGCGAGCCCACTGCGGCTCCGCTGTCCCCGGCGGCTGGAGCGCCGGGGGGACGGCGGCGAGCCCAGTCGCGGCACCGCTCCCCTCCAGGTG